AGAGACTTTGGTGAAAATGCCAACAGAAATGTTGGGGCACCTGGGTGGCTCAGTCAGTGAAGCATCTGCCTCCAGCTCAGGTCATGATATGGAGATCTTAGGATTGAGCCCCATTGTCAGGCTCCCTGCTCAGCGGGGAGTTTGCTTCTCCCTCTCCTCACCACCTGCTGTGCTCTCTCTAGCTCTCTCTTTCTCACTCTCTTTTTCAAATAAATAAAATCTCTAAAAAGAAATGATGACAGACTTTTCTGGCTAGGTAAGCATCCATAAAAGGTTGGCTAAACGCTCTGCCAGGTTCTATACTGGGCTCTAGAACATCAGCAATAAAAAGCATAACCCCAGCAATCAAAGATCTTACAAGTACATAGAAAAGTTAGATCAAAGAGTAAAAACAATTCCATTACATCATGGTAAATGCCAACCTAGAAAAAGTATGCACAGAGTCTGGAAACTTAACCCCCAAAACTGACAACTGACTGGGTTTTAAATGTAAGAATTTAGCTAAGTAGAGAAAGTATTCCATGCATAGCAAACAGCAAGTGCATAGTCTCTGAGATTTTGAAAAATATATAGTCCTGTATGTTGGAAATGTTAACTAAACAGAGCAGCAGAAAGAAATAAGACCAAAATGGTATATAAGGTCTGGATCAGTGCTTTTCCAATTCTTTTTGTAGAGTATCTGGGTGTTTTGTTGTTGTTTTTTTTTTTTTTTATTCCAACATGTCATGGACTGATATTTTTGGTCTATATCCTACTCAATGAAAAAAGGACATTATCACGTGCATGGTATTACAGCAATCCAAATTGCCTCTAAATCCTCCCTTAGAGTACTTATTTCATCAAAGTAGAAACAAACAGTTCCTGGACTGGGGTGGTCCATGAACCACACTGGGAGTCGCACTGAGCTAGACAGATTATGAAGGTTTTATTTTATCATGAAGGCAATATGGAGTCACTAACGTATATTTTTTCTGATTTCTTCTTTTTTAAATCATAGTTTTACTAGATGATTCACAATCCTTAAAAAAAAAAAAAGGTACTATTATTCTCCCCATCTTGTGGATTACGAAAATGTAGCTGATTAACGTTAAAAAACTTTCTCACAATGATACATTGAGAAAGAAATATGGCAACCCATATCACAGGCAAGGGTTAATGTCCCTAAAACAATAGAAACTCCTGGGAATCAAAAGTTCAACAGAAAAAAAATGGGCAAAGAATACGAATAGACCATTCACAAAATAGTAAATACTAATAGCCTTTACTTGTATGAAAACATGCTTTACTGTACTAAGATATGCAAACTTAAATTCTACTGAGACAACACTGCCTAGCAGACTAGCAAAAATCCAAAAGTTCAAATAAATCACTCTACTGGTGGCTTTAGGAAGGAAAAAAAAGCACCCTCAGGACATTAGCAGGAGTATAAATTAGTACAGTATCTGTGGAAGGCAGATACCCTTTGAGGTAGTCATTAAAACAGCTCATAAATATCCTTCTCTTTCTCTTTCAAGGTATATTATACTGTTTCACTTGAGGTTAAATATGGTTATACAATTTGCTTTATCCAGGGAAATGTGAGTAAAAGTGACATTGTATCTTCTAGGTGGAAGTTTTAAGAGCTAGAGTACAAGAGCTAGAATGCAATTTGCTATGTTCTCTTTCATTGATCTTTTCTTTCACTATACCATCTATACTGACAATATCCTACAGGCAGGCTGCTCCATCACCCTGGACTGCAGAGAGAAGACAACTTAAAGCAGAACTCCTTGACATGCAGGATGACAAGCAGCATAAGCAAAATAAACCTTTATTGTTTTAAGGCGCTGACAAATGGAGGAAATGTAGCAATATTTATCAAATTTACAAAGGCATATATCCCCTCAAATATACTTGCAAAATGATGTATGTAAAAGGTGCTCGTTTACAGCATGGTTTGTTAAAGCAAATGACCACACTGTTAAATCAAATGAACCAAATTAACACCAAGAGAAGACTAGTCAAATACTTGCAGTACCTTCATACAATGAAATATCTGTAGTTATTAAGAAAAAATTCTCTTAGAACTAATATGGAGGGATCTCCAAATGAAAAAGCAAGATATTCTCAGGATGTATATCAATTTCGTTTTTAAAATAAAGTGAGAGGGTTACAACATATATTCATATTTTTTTGTACTTGCACAAAGCAATAAGAAACTAACAATTATTACCTTGGGCAGAGTGTTAAAGCGTGACTAGGTGGAACTTCCAATTGCTCAGGAAAAAAAAAATTGTGTGCTGTACTTAACTTCCTACTGTGACAACCTCGATAAATCAAGCAAATCTCATGTTAAGTATAAATACCATACACTTGCTTCTATCTTAAATCGTTCTCACACCCTTCACTAAACTCTGGCTTATCTCTACCCTCTTGGCCATCTAATCAGCTTCCAGTTACATTACCTGTGTTAAGAATATATTTACTATTGTTCTCTTATTCAATTAAGTAGGAATGGTTCTTAGTTACCCTTAAATAAACCATGCTTTTTCTCTAAATGATTCCAAGCTTTGCCAACAGTTTTTAGCTATTCTTTCTGAGACTCTGAATTGCCTCTTAAAACAAATTGCGTCTGCTCCAATATATTCTTGTTTTTCTCATTCAGAACTTTTGTGTGGGTGTTATTTCTTTTACTTTCCTCTATAACAAAGAATTATAAGAAAATTAGAAATAAAAAATTAGTATTATAACATGGACTCCATAAATGTTTACTTTAAATGTTTATTTCATGTGAGTCTAGATCAACAGACTCCAAGTGTTTATGATTAGGCAGCCCAACCCATAGAAATATTTTTAGCATAATCTCTCAAATATATATATTTACTCATTTAAAACCTATATATATATGTAACCATATTCGTATATTCATACATTATAAAAATGTAAAAAGTTTTTATAAAAGAAACAATCATTTAAGATTAATGATAAAAATATTTTTTGCTGTCACTAAAAATATTAGCAGTAATATTTTTAGTGAAAGCAATGTGATACAATATGCCTCATTATTTTTTAAATCTTGTTTAACATTTTGTTATAGAATTATTTGAAAGTTTGGTTCTACATTCAATTATTTCAATACATGGTTTTCAAAGCTGTCAAAAAGATACAGATATGTCAGTCAAATGAAAGATGTGCAATTGGTTCCTACATAGCAATTTTTCAAAGATTTTGTTGAAATATATATAAATAAGTTCTCATTTTCTCTGATATCTTACCAAATAGAAATATTTCTAATAAATAAATTCAAACCTCACTGAAATTTTTCATTAGAAATATTTTTAAGTATGTTAGTAGTTTCTTCCCAAGATTTTAGAACATGCCGTTATGGGTTTTTATAGGTAACACTCATTGTTTCTGATTTAAAAAAGAACACATACACAAAAGAAAACATTTTCAAACATCTGTATTTAAAGCAGCTACCTTTTCAATCATTATTAAAACATTATCTTCTCCCAAGGGTCAAATTAGCAGTGCTTATAAGAAGCTAGAACAATACAAGCAAAAAAAAAAAGGTGCAACAAAATAAATGGTAATAATGGATTCTAACTGTAAAATGTAATATCTAGTCTATGAGTCCATACTGATATAAATAAACTGATGGGAGAAAAAAGAAATCTCTTCCTTATAGAATGCCAACTAATGAATGTATAAAGTATAATGGAAACAGAAAGTTCCCATTTGGCAACTACCATTAGTGGTGGTAGATTCAGATAGGAGTCATCAATGGATGCTTAGCTTGTAGGTAGGAGGCGATGAGGAGTAAGATATTGGCATAGTCCTAGAGTACACAAAACACTTATCAATTATAAAAGGAAAAAAGGTGCTTTGACAAGTTGGTAACCTGGCCAATAAAAACTTAACTAGGTGATTGAGGTTAACATTAAGAAGGGTAATACAATTCAATTGAGCCCAGCGTCAATTTTGTGTAATTCCTGCCAACAAAGCATGGCCCGAGTCTGAACATGAGGAAACATTGGATGGACCCCAAATGAAGAACACACTACAAAATAAAAGCCCTGTACCATCTGTCCAAGATAAAAATGAGGAAGTGTTCCTGATTAAAGGAAACTAAAGAGATATGACTACTAAATGCAACATGGCAGCCTGAATTGTATCCTGGACCAGGAAAGAAAAAAAGATATTGTTGAGACAGCTAGCAAAGTTTGCATAGCATTTTGATGATGTGTTGCTATTGTTGATTTTTTCTTGTGGATGGTTACACTGTAGTTGATAGGAGAGTCTCGTGGTTTGTTGGGAAGTACAAATAGGACTATTTATGAGTAATATGACATCTCTCCAACTTTTTCTCAAATGGTTCAGAAAAGAATTAATCGTAATGGAAGGAGGGTTTTGAAGCAATTTTGATCATGTCATCAATTGGGGCATCTTGGCAAGAAAGATTTAAGCATTCTTTATATTGCTATTTTGGCAACTTTTCCCTAAGTTTGTAATTATTTCAAAATAAATTATACTTTAAGTGTATTTATAAATGTGAGCATGCTTGCATTTTTAATATCTGCCTGGTATTATACTACTGACAGCCACTAATCATCATTTAAAAATAACCTTTCTGTGTATATCATAAAGGCCCTCTGTAATAGGCAGTCAGTGGCCTTAAACTGGGTAGCCAAGGGAGACAACAACTAACTAGAGGCCTTATAATAACTTAGGCCCTGTCTTAAGTTCAAAATATAATGGCCTCAAAGTGGCAATGGTACTGAAAATAGCATTTAACTTAAACTTCAGGCTCTCAACCCACTAGGTCTATTTGATTTCCATTAATCAGCATAGAAGGAAGCCAAAAGCCAACTCCCATCTCTTAAGACTCTAGCTTACTTGTCATGCATTTCCAGAAGCACACTATAAGATGACTAATCACTGACTGCTTCTTTAGGACCATATGTCTCCCAATTTTAAAGGAAAAATTGTCCCAACTAGTACTAGAAAAACAGATTTCCTACCTCCTGCAGCTGGAGTCGAACCTTGGTAACTGCTCGGATCCAGTGAGCTCTTGCTTGGGTAAATGGTGAAGAACCATTCTCCTCAGGAAAACTTGTAACAAAGAAAAGAATGTTTCTTAAAAATAGCCCAGGCAACAAGGTGACTGCTCAAGCAAAACTGCCAAGTATCTAAAGTAAAATGGTTTGTATTCATGCCTAGACTTATTTTGTGAGGCCACTAAACAGAATAGTACTGAATAGCCAATGTGAAAAAAAAAATCCTCTCTAAAATGATAACTCCTTTTAGCTTTTTATCCATTTCCTCTCTCCTTTCCCCTTTATTCACTCAACCAATGAGCCAAATCACTAGGATAGTCAAGTTTCAGGATTCCAGTAAAAGTAATGGCAAGGGCCCTGAGTCAATGTTAGCACTGAAATTACGTAGACATGTGAACTAACCCTTGCACCTTACCTCTCAAGACCACCGAGTCTCCCTTGGGCATTCTGTATATCATCCATCCTTAGAGCAGAATTTTGTTCTTAAAATCTTTCCTGCTCCACTAAGAATATTGGAAGGCTTATCATTCCTAGACTACATCAAAAACACTAAGTAAAAAAGCACAGCTCTTTTCCTGCCATGGTCTTTTTCCCTGACCTGCCTTAGGGACATCTTCAATGACACAACAATAATATATAACAAAGTAGCTTTGGGGCAGAAACACTAGGCTGTATTAGAACAAATCATCACCCAGGTTCTTAACTGTGTAATACTGGTCAATTCTTGGTGATAATGCTTCTCCTCTCTTCCACTAAGGTCTAGTGCCAAGGCAGCAAACAAGCATCCACCATTTAGATATCTGAAATATATGCTAGGCTCTGATGCCATCTAACTGAGTCAACTGTATTAAATAAAATACTGTGGGCACTGCTGACCATGGTAGAACTGGGCCTTATCTGCATAGCTAGGATTTGAAAGGACATAACCATTAGAGGACAAAAACTCATGTTGGGCACTTCTGCTGCTCTACCAAGAACTCTAGACAATAGTATCTGCCAAGTATAAGGTCTACAAAGAGCCATTTCTCAGTGGGTCATCAATCACAAATCTTGGATGTCTTGTCTATTAGATGAGCCAAGAGAGATGACCAAAAATCAAGAAAAAGGAGAAAAGAAAATAAGTTTGTATCTTCAGTGGTGGAGTAGATACACCAACAACCCTTCATACTTTTACCACATATAACAGCACTTGCTGCTCTGATCTGTTGGTGAGAGGCTTTATTTTTAGACCTTGAAATCTGAGAATCCAAGTCACACCTAGCCCTTATCACTCTACCCCAGTGATTTTCAACTGGGGGCAGTTTTGTCCCCTAAGAGAAATCTGACAAGATCTAGAGACATTTTTGGTTGTCACAACTTAGGGTTACTACTGGCATGTAACATACAGAGACCAGGGATGTCACTATACATTCCACAATGCCCAGAACAGCTCCACATAACAAAGAGTTATCTAACCCCAGATATCAATCATGCCAAGACTGAAAATCCCACTCTGCCCTAACCTATCAGCAAATCTACTGACCAATTTAGCTCAATAACAATAACATTCAAACACTGCACTAAGATTCATTATAAGACTGTTAAAAAAACAAGTTTAAAATTTTTCTTCTCATGGGTACCAATTAATTCCAGACACCCTGTTAGACCTGGGGAGGCAAAAGGGTGAGATCTGGCTTTTAAACCAATTCTTTCTTAACTCTGTCCTGGTGTTCTCAGCCAGGAAAAACAAAACAAAACAAAACAAAACAAAAAACAAAACAAAACAAAACAAATGTTCACATAAAAAGTTTAAACATTAACTGGCTGAGAAGCCTATTTCATCCAAAGCAGCTCCTTTGAATGAAGTAAGTTGCAGGGCTTGGGTTGATTCTAGACTCAGAGGCTACCATACATACGTCCTAGTAGGCCAATAACTGCATATTCAAGAAGGCCTGGTACACTGAAGCTAACTACAAAGAACTCAAGTGTTCTTCAGAGATCCTCAAAATATCTAGGGAATTATATACCAAAAATCAAAGGAAGCAGCACATAGCCAAACCTCAGTTTCTCGATCACTACCATACCCAACTATAGCAAAACAAATGAAAAGCACTTACATCCAGCAATACCACAGGCAGATACTGAGGAAACCACATGAACTCCTTAAGGAAACTATCACCTACCTCTCCTGGGGGCCTAGGACGTGGTCTTTGGGTAGCACCAGATCTGGGGGAGGATGGGTTGTGGTATCTTCTTTCTTGTCCTTGGGTTCACACACTCTCCCCTTCTCTTCTTCACCTGTTACCTCCAAGGCTTTCTCTTGTTCTCCAAAGCCCACCTGGCCGTCTCTGGAGAAGCTGCCAGAGCTGTGGCATGAATGAATTGAATCCCTCTCCCGACGGTCATCATCTTGTTCGTGACACTGGTCTAGTTCACTCAACTGAGAGCTTCCTTGACTCACATTACAGGATGAGCCATACCTACTACTGCTGGTGGGGCTGTGAGAATGAAAGAAAGACAGGTGAGTACTTACATGCAAACAGGGACCAGGACAAAAGTAATGGACAAATCCAGAAATAATGATTCTTTCAGTGGGAAGAATCACAAATAGGAGGTTTCTGGGAAAACAAGACCAAACTTTGTAATCTAGAAGAACTAGTTTCTAGTCAGCAGAAGCACAACAGGAAAAGCAATGCTGGGTTCTCTAATATTAACCTCAACCTGTGACAGACTTTGAAGCATACTTTTTCTTAATGTGATTTTTGTAAGTTGGATTGAGAATTATTAATATTTAAGTATTAAATATAAAAATACCCTCTTATTTATGCCTAAAATTCTTTACTCAGACTTCTAAAGAAACTTGTCCAGTGGCTGTGATTAAAGTTTTCTAATTTCCATAAGGCAAAATGGTGAACTCTACTCCCCTCTTCTTTTATTTACTAAATTGATGTCCCCTTTTCTTCCTCTGTAATTATAAATATGAATGTCTGTTCCTTAGGATGAGCAAAGGAGACTGGAGATGTTTCTTTAATTATCTCTCAGCTATCTACATGATGAGGTAATGGAAGCCATTGGGAGATGAAGTCTATGACCAAAAAAATTTGTCTGGGGAATGGTCTCATTAACATGAATGTTACAATTAAATCCCTGGCAGCACAGGCAATGTCCCAAAGATGAACTTGCCCATCTGTAATGAAGTTGCTCTCTGGACACAACAAAGTTTTGGAAAAAGTGGACAAAATCCAACTCCAGGATCTGGGTCAGGACCACACTAATGCATTTCTATACTTAAAGAGAGGCCAGCCCAACCCTTTCTCAACCACCTGAATTCCCATACCCAGGGAGGAAATTTGTGCGCCTGTTATGAGAGACAGCACCAATAGCAGAGAAAGGGCAGTGAATTATGATTAGAAACCATGATTAGGGCAGCCCGGGTGGCTCAGCAGTTTAGCGCCTGCCTTCAGCCCAGGGTGCAATCCTGGAGTCCCAGGATGGAGTCCCACATTGGGCTCCCTGCATGGAACCTGCTTCTCCCTCTGCCTGTGTCTCTGCCTCTTTCTCTCTCTGTGTGTCTCTCATGAATAAATAAATCAAAATCTTAAAAAAAAACAAACATGATTAGAGCAGTATCCACAAGTTACTCCCTTGAGCCATACACTAAATTTAAGAGTCAGTCCTACTCAAGACAGATGTTCTAGGTGATGATCTTTAAGATCTATCCCAGAATAGTTCACTGAATTGTATCACTGAATAGTTCTATCCCAAGTCAGGGGCCCTTCTTTCACTTCTGGTATCATGCTAGAAAGCCTCCATGCAAAAGGACAAAGAATTTCCTTGCCACAGAGTCAAGTCTTTAAAGGGCTTATGTTTACCCTTGGCCAAATGAAGATAAATCATTACTGGTTTCCAGTGATATTCTCCCTATGGATCCTCCCAATTACTTGGTATTTTCAGACTAATTTCTGATCCTTCATCCCAAGGCATGCTGCTATGAATAGTTCCTAACACATGTGTGTACATGAATGCACACACACACACACATACTATCTCTAAAACCAGCCCCTTTGGACAGGTCTGGGTGAGAAGTCATGGCAGCATTCTTAAATTGTACAGTACGGGGGGATCCCTGGGTGGTGCAGCGGTTTAGCACCTGCCTTTGGCCCAGGGCGCGATCCTGGAGACCCGGGATCGAATCCCACGTCGGGCTCCCGGTGCCTGGAGCCTGCTTCTCCCTCTGCCTATGTCTCTGCCTCTCTCTCTCTCTCTCTCTCTCTCTGTCTGTCTCTCTGTGTGTGTGACTATCATAAATAAATAAAAATTAAAAAAAAGAAATTATAAAAAAAATTGTACAGTACGTGGTGCTTCTTCTTAGGGGAAATAATAGTATCTTTTCCAAATGGACCCTGCACAATGCTCCAGAATAAAGAACTACAGCAAATGATAGCCCTGAGCTCCCATGACACTTTATTCAAGGCACTTACCAGACACCAATCTCAAGGTACGAAATGGCAGACTAGAAAGAGCTATATAAATCCATGTGGAGGGATCCCTGGGTGGCGCAGAGGTTTAGCGCCTGCCTTTGGCCCAGGGCGCGATCCTGGAGACCCGGGATTGAGTCCCATGTCGGGCTCCCGGTGCATGGAGCCTGCTTCTCCCTCTGCCTGTGTCTCTGCCTCTCTCTATCATAAATAAATTAAAAAAATTTTTTTTAAATAAATAAATCCATGTGGAATATAGAATATAAATTATTCCAATCTTTGCATCTAGCATTTTACTTAATAACCTCATTGCCACTGGAGAAAGCATCTTAGAAGACTTGGAAAAGCACAGCACAGTAGATCTCTCCCCAGCTATTAGAGGTATAAGTGCTGAGGGCCAAGGAAGCATCCTAGCCTATCACATGGTTGTAATTAATATATGCCACACTACTACTTGCAGCCTCTTTCTGCCCTCCATTCTCCATTTCACTTTCACAAGGCAGAGCAAACCAGAATGAGTAAATCCTAAGGCCCAGCCTTTCCTTTAGCAGTAAGTTCCTTCTCCCAGTTAATGAATTCCATTTGGCTCTAGAGAGAGGGAAGAGGATGAAAAGACCCACACATTACTCCTTGTTACTTAACCCCTAGTTAACATGAAGCTCGGGTGCTAGGAAAGACATAGGAAAAATATAAAGCAGCCTATCATTAAGCTACCTCTAAGTCACTGCATCATAAATGGTCAATTCCTTAAAATCATTTATGATGCTTAGGTTGAAAACAGGCCTTTTGTCGGTCTTTGGTTCCTTGACGTCATGGAGAGTAATTGGTTTCTGTATGTTTGAAAGACAGTCAGTGCAAGGAGGCATCACCTCTTCCTCTTGTGTTTCTGGCTGGTGAAGTAACTCAGTGACAGTGCAGTGTTCTTCCTTATGACTCCCGGAAGGACAGGTGGAGCTAGAAAGGTTGCTTTTGGAACCCCAGTGTTCTCCAGATGCTGAAATTCCCTGCTGGTTTTCCATTTCTCCTGACCCTGAAAGCTCATGAGCACATATACTTGGCCTGGTCTCCAGATGCTCATAGGTCCCAGAGGGTTGAGTAGCTGGTTCAGCACTAGCCTCAGACATTTGAGAAGACTCTAAAGCTTTGTCAGCCTCACTAAAATGAGGGTTCTGATCACTGCTGATAACTAAAGCTGGAGAAGAGGATTCTGCAGGTACTTGTTCAGGGCCTCCTTTGTTCTCTTTTGGCCGTGTGAATGAAAGATCCAGCTTCTTTCCAAATCTCAGTTTTAGATCACTTGCCATCATACTCCCATTCCCATCACTACCTCCCTCAAATAGAGCTGACAACTTTTTAAAATTGGCCATTAAACCAGGCTCCGCTCCTCTATTACCAGAGGAAGGAGATGGGGAAAATAAAGAGCTCAGTGGTTTCCCATAGTCAGTGGCAGAAGATGGGAAATGGAGTTTTGGCCAATTGGTCATGTCTGGGATCCCAAAATGAGGTCTTGGCTGCTCTGTTTCCTGGGGGACTGCAGGTGTATCTTTCTGGGTACCAAGTATCCCATAACTTTCTTTGGCACAAAACACAGGCTCCTCCAGTACAGGATGAGAAAGGTATCCTTGGGTTTCTGGTGTGGCACTCTGGCCGGCACTTGCATCACTTAACAGTGGACTACTGGTTTCCAGTGAATTGGTTGTCTGTAGTTCCAAGAAATCTTGGTTTGTGGAGGCTGACTGAATAGCTGGCTTTGCCTCAAGAGGAGTAAGTGGCTGACCTGGAGGAGGAAGCTCTTCGGCAATACATGTTGGATCTGGATCCAAATGCGATAGCAATGAAATATGCTCTGCTTCCAATGATGTCTCCGTGTCTGTGCCCTGCAACAACCCCATGTCTCCTTCATCACTCAGAGACAATACTCCTTGCCCAGTATCGTCCCCTGAGACAGAAGGTGTAGCCCCAATTGTTTCAGAATCTTGGGGTTCTAGAATATTGTCAGGAATATTATTGCTTTCCATTTCAGTTGTTAGTTTAGTATCATCTATCAGGGTCTCTGAGTCTGACTTTGCACTAACTACAGTCATTGTACCACCACTGAGAGTAGATTCTGAATTGAGTGTTGGAGAGGAAGCTTCTCTCCACAAATTTTCTGTAGGTACTGATCCTATAGTATCTCTGCAACTACCATTTTGAGGCCTTGCAATAGCTGGGACAGGTGATTCTTGTTTGTATGTCTCTGGTCTGGGACTTTTAAAAATTCCAAGTAACTCACCTTTGAGGGACTGAGATGATGCACCAGAAGAAAGGGAGAAAAAGGAGTTTTTCTTTGGAGGTTTAGGAGAGGAGAAAAATCCAGAGAAAGTTTTGGGAGGTTCAACTAAGCACCCAGAGAAAGACTTCACTTTTGTCACAAACCCGGAAAGCATCTCTACTGAAGAGCCCAACACTGATTTGTCTTCTTCTTTATCTGCCTCTCGGCTCTGGAAGTGCTCTCTATACCCTGGCTCCACAGAGGGAGAGGGTGGTTCTACAATCTCTGTTAAGACCTCATTAGGGACCTTTTCTAATGGCAAGCTCAAAGGGTCACTAGTAATTATTTCAATTTGGTGGTGGTTAGTGCAAATGTCTGGACTGTTGAGCTTTTCAGTCAAACGGTTATCATGTGAAAAAGACTTGGACAGTGAGCCACTAGGGAAGGCTTCCTGTATGAAAGTCTCTTCTTCATTAGGAGTTACCCCAAGGGACTCTGGACCAATGAGCAATGTTTCAGTCTGTGCCTGAAATTCTGGTGAATTAGAACCAATGTCATTTTGCAACTGATTCATCTGGATATCTGCTAAAGATGTCCCTGGTCCATTACTAGAATCTTGTTTTTCCTGATAGTCCTTCTCCACATTGAGCTCATCTGTAAAGGAAGTAACGTCAACGGTGTTGCTACAAGGAGCCATTTGCTGTTCATGAACTCCCTCCTGGACTATGCTAGCTCTACTGCCACTAGAACCTTCTCTAGTCATTGTACC